TCCCATTCCTCCATTTTAAATCCGTCCTTTCTCCTCCTCCTGCCTGTCACTCCAACCATTAAATTCTGCAGGCCATTCATCTTTTTTTCATTCCACCTTTGCCTTTCGCACTCACTTCATCCTCATGATTATGCCGTAGCAACACACACAGATATTTCATTTTTCTATTCCTCTGTCATCCCTGTCTTTTGGTGGGCCCTTCCAATAGCAGTCACAGCCTTTAGAATACCCCAGGGAGAGCACATTCAATCCCTGCATTAGAGCTAAATACATTCAAAAAGATAGGCTCTCCACAAGGGCACAACCTCTTCACTCCTCTCTGTATTTATGGGTTCTCTCGCGTGAGGCCAGAGACGCTGCTTTGATGCGACCACCAGCGCTTCTGAATTCACACTATAAACAATTATCGATGTCCTGCTTCTCGGATAAAAATGGAAGTGGAGTTAAACTTTCAAAGACTGTTATTAAAAGGCCCAAATTATGCCATTTTCTGATCTGTTACAGTGCTATTTCCTCATCAAAAACAACCCACAACCCACAAATCCTGCATATTTAGGATGAGTTTTTCTCTCAAACGTAAAATTTTATTCTATTCATTTTATTTATTTAGTATGCTTCTGCTCCACCTTGTGATGTTCCATTGTGTTTTTAAACTCCATACACCTTCACTAGAATCATTTGGATGATTTCAGTCCTGGAATTGCCGATCTCTACTGAACTAAACGTAAAAGGAGCTGTTAACTTGAAAACTACCACTATATGACATCACAAGGTGTTACAGAGTGTTCTGAGGTTTGGACAGACTAATAATAAAGTGTTACTCAAACGTGTGAATGAACAGAACACAACTGCAGGTATGTTTTGAGGAGGTAACAGCATTATATAACTTTTCTGGTGGAGTACCTGCCACCCACTTGTCTCCATGGAGATGTTATTGCTCTGCCTGGAATATTCCACAGTATTGCATTAAACCTAGTCATGAATGTGAAGCTACCTGGTTGATCTTTGGAGACTCAACCTTGCTAAAAGAAAGACTGCATGTTTTTAGTGTATTTTTGAACAGTAAAAGTGTAGTAAATGCTAAATTTGTTTTATTTAGTTTATTGCCATACTGTGGAACATTCCAGGCAAAGCAATAACATCTCCATGGAGACAAGTAGGTAACATCTTCCACCAGAAAGGTCGCAGAGTGCACCTTTTTAAATGAACAAAGACAACAACTCAGTCTTATCAAGAACAGAAATAGCAACAGAACTCTAAAAACTCCTCGACCTATTAAACTGCAAATCTCCCACCCACATAACAGTTGGAACCATTGAAAAAATGCCATCGCTTTTTTCCTTCACAAAGTCTAACCCAAAAAGCTTCGCCCAGACTGTGCCACCCCTTACACCGAAGTTTGTTAAAAAGTGCATTGTGTAACTTTTTGGTTTGGGGTTCGTCACCTGCTTGTTTCTATGGATATGTCATTGGTCTGCCTGGAATGTTCCACAGTGTGACATTAAGCAGCTCTATCTTACATTTATTCAGTTACAGGTTCAAAAATACTTCATTCTGACTGTGAGCGAGGTTGCCTCTCCATAGATCTGACCTGTAACTTGGTCTGATTTGGTCTCCATGAAGATGGAAAGATGAACTACCATATTGTGAAATATTCCATGGAGAAAAACATTTGACTGACCCCCACCAGAAAAGCTACACTATTTAATTTTGATCTATACCACACAGCAAAACTAAATAAAAGTATGGATCCCAGACTTTTTATGCAAATGTACAAGAGTTATTTTACAGCACAAGTTTACTTTAATTTCTTCTTCTTCTTGGCTCATCTCTCGTCCTGCCTTCATCTCACAGAAACACCAATATTGCTCCTTCACGCCTTTCCCAGGGCCCACAGCTGCTCTGTTCAAAACTGGCTCGGAGATCTACACGCCACGCATACTTTCAGCGCTACAAAAAATACACCCTTTTCACCTCGCTATTCTCGCCTGAAATGCGAAAACTAAAAGCTTAAAATAAATGAAAGTTGAGAGCAGTGTAAATATGCAATGGTTAGTGAATCTTGCATTATGCATTACATCATATAGTCAAAAAAATAAATAAAATTGAGTGTTGCAACAGGGATGCAACAAAATACTTGTTTTTAAAAGTCCTATATTACATAAAAGTGACTCTTGGGAGCTTTACTTTAAAAACATACTTGATGTGTTTTATTTCATTCACACACATTTCATTTTTTTTTCCCAGTGCATCAAAAAATAAATGGGCACTTTTCAATACATTCCTGGCCTTTTGCATGGCCTTTAAGTGCTTTATGTTTGAGTCTGGAGCTCTGGATAAACACGTCTGTGAGTGAGGAAAGAGATACATCAGTTTAAATAGGAAATGACGTGCCTCGCTGCAGTCTGAATGTGAACATTAAATACAAATGGCATCGCCCATTAGGATCTGCTGTTAAATCATCACTCTTCTATTAGCTGTACACAGCTGTCTACAGCAAGGAAGCTTAAACTTCAGAGATGGTTACCACAGTGGGAGACTTTTACTTGTGTACCTATGAAATGGAGAAAACAGAGTTGTAGCTTTTACTAATCTTGATCTTCAAGTAATTCAGTAGTAATATTATTTGAAGTAGTCATGTTTTTCTAGATGTAAAACTTGTGAATGGTTTTGATTTCTTTTCAAATGTAAGTAGTTATCTTTTATTAGATATTAGGTAGCAGTAATAGCAGCAGCAGTAGCAGGTGTAGTACTAGTAGTAGTAGTAGGTGTAGTACTAGTAGTAGTAGCAGGTGTAGTAGTAGTAGTAGCAGCAGTAGTACTAGTAGTAGTAGTAGCAGCAGCAGCAGATGTAGTAGTAGTAGGTGTAGTAGTAGTAGTATTACTAGGTGTAGTATTACTAGGTGTAGTAGTAGTAGTAGTAGTAGTAGGAGTAGTAGTAGTAGTAGTAGTAGTAGTAGTAGTAGTAGTAGTAGTAGTAGTAGGAGTAGTAGTAGTAGTAGTAGTAGTAGTAGTAGTAGTAGGTAGTAGTAGTAGTAGTAGCAGCAGCAGCAGTTGTACAAAGAAAGACTGCATTCATAGTGAACAATTTTTTTTTTTTTTTTTTGTTCCACCTTCCAATGTCATTTGGTAATACTGAAAGGGCTCCACTGTGTTTTTAAACTCCATACACCTTCACTAGAATAAATGGATAAATTCAGTCCCACTAGTCCATCTCTTCTGAACAAAAGCAGCTGTTAACTTGAGAACTTGAGAACTACCACTAAATGACATCAAAAGGTGGAACAGAGCCTTTTAAGCTTTGACGGTGTAGACAGACTAATAATAAAGTGTGTGAATGAAACAAAACACAAGTCCAGGTATGTTTTTGTGGATGTAACAACATTATGGCATGGCTAAAACTCACAAGAGTCCACTTATTGTTATCCTGATATTACACAATTTCATACATCTCATCAATAGTAAAATTATTAGAAATTTACTATCCAGATAACCATCACCAGCCGTGGATTTAACCACTTTTAACACTATAAGTATTTTTAAAGACTCCAATTTGTATAAAATTCCTGACTTGCTATAGCATGTCTTGTAATTCCCAGCCTCCTCTTCTTCACTGTCTGTTTAAAGTTCACACTCTTCAACAGTAAAACAAATTTACTCCATAAATAATCATCACCAACCATGGATCTCTAATGACTTTTCCACAAACCATTTTTTTGTTTGTGTGAAATACCGTGTACTCTCCCTAGCTCTTGCCATACCCAGCCTCCTCTTCCTCTCTCGCTGTTTAACATTCACTGCTTATGCGGGCCCACACACCTGTTGGCTGTGTGACGGTGACAGAGATGAATTATTAAGCTTCTGTGCCCCCCGCCCCTGTTATCTGTCAGCCCATTCAGACCTCCCCAAAGCCCCTCACCTGTTTAGGTACAAGGTGAACTGTTGCTAAGCGCCGATACCATGTCCAGCATAAATATTTCAGAGTCTAAAACCAGGATTTCAGATACGAGGGGCAGAAATTGTGACCGCGAGCTTTTCAGAGCTAAAGGAGTTTCAACTGCAAGCTCAGACTAGAATATTTTTTGCCTTTTGGCTCTTCCCTCCAAAAACTCCAAGAATAAATTGTCATTCAAGCATATATAGAGCTCAGTTTTTTTGCAAAGCTTTCACTAACTTTGCAAATTAGTTAGTTGTCTGGAATGTTTCACAATATGGCATTAACAGTCTGTCTGAATGGATGCATGACCAGTGGAGAGTAAAGACGTAACGATATCCTCTTGGTACGATATTATCACAATATGCATCTCATATTTTGGAGAGATAGGACATGTTTCTTCTTTTAAAATACCTGTACAAGATTTTGGTGAGAATTATTTCCGTCATAATCCCAAGAATTCAAGTAAAATACATATTGCTTTGTGTTGTTTGCACTGAAATGAATCATGGGATATGTAGTTTCCTATGTTTATAAGCTGTTGCTACTATAAAACCATGCATTTAAGCAAAATAACTTGTAATTCGATATTTTGTGACAGCCCATGATGTTATTGTGAGACTTTTGATGACACGATATTTCGGTTATTGTTACTTTCCTAGTGGAGAGGAGATCCAAGTGACTGTAAATTTTGTTGTACTTTGGTTGAATAATAAAACATCTGTAAAGAAATGAATGCATGATATTAAATTGCAGTACCGTGTTGTGGAAGAACCCAGTCAAAGGTCTCCATGGGCCGTCAGAAAAGTTACAGAGCACATGAGTGAGCTTGCCTCTCAACAGATCTGACCTCTAACTTGGTCTGGAGGCATTGTGGGGGTTGTCAAGTTTAATGCCATACTGTGGAACATTCTAGACAAAGCAATAACATCCTTGAAAGTTACCCAGTGTACCTTTAAATGGGAAACAGAAAATCGCTTTTTACCAATGACGACAAAGATGAGAAGTGAATGTTTGGTACTGATGGTGAAGGTTAAAAAAATACAAAAGTCAGATGTGCACTCACCTGTAGATGAGCGTCTCGTCTGCGGTGCAGTTGTATTGAATCTGGTACATCCACACAACATACGCTCCGGAGAGACGGCCCAAATCCCACCGAACCTGCGCTGAGGTGGACGTGACTCCCTGAACGCCCACCATCCTGCTTTCCTCCTCCTCCTCTTCCTCCTCCATACTCCCCCCATCGGACCGCTCGACCTCTGACCCCTTCACCCCTTCTCCCTCCTCCTCCTCTCCTGCGGACTTCTTCTCCTCGTCCACCTCTCCGCCTCTCCCCGCTCCGTTGTTGTTAATTCCTCCGTTTTTCCCCGTGCTGATATCCGAAGAGCCCGGGTCTGTCCGTAAAATTCCATTGGTGACGTTCCTGTTGGTTTTAGTGTTGGTATTCCCAGGGTTCCCTCCCGCTCCGCCCCTGTGTGGTAACGGGATGATTTTCAGATCCACTGTGGCGGTGGCTTCTCCCGCCGCGTTGATGGCGATGCAAGTGTACGCCCCGTCGTCCCGGGCAACAGTAACTAAGATATCCAGTGTGCCGTTGCTGAAGGAGCTGGTTCGGGACGTGTTGGCGATGATGCGGTCGTCGGGGGAGACCCAGTGGATCACCGGCTCTGGGTCTCCGATGGCGCGACATTTCAGGGTGGCCCTCTGCCCCTCCAGCACCCACAGCTTGTGAGTGTGGCGGGTGATGAGGGGGGGCTCGCAGGTGAACTCCTCCTCCGGAATGGACCAGAAATACCTGAAAATCACATAATATCAATAAGAAAATAGTAAAAAAAAAAAAAAAAAAAAGTGATTTGCTGAATATTGTGCTGGAAAATATATATTTTTTAATTAAATGTCAAACCAGGACTACATAAACTATTTGAAGAGTAATGTTACCTATAGTCACAACAGGATTTCAGAAATTGGATATAATAATTTCTCACATTTTTTAAATTTAGAAATGTAAAAGTTCTGAATCCATAATACATTTTGGTATCACTACAAACTAAATATCCATAAATGGGAAAGATGGCCTGGCCTGGGTAGTGTTGTGTTTTAGTTTTAGTTTTTCCTCGAGTTATGCAGAAAAGAGGGAGCCACTATGTTAAACTATGTTGTCATTGTGTCCTTAGGCAAGACACTTCACCCACATTGCCTAGTATGAAAGTGGTGTATGTGTCTGATGTCTGTGAAAAGTGCTATATGAATAAAAACTTACTCACTACTTACTTACTACTTACTACCTTTTACTTACTACTTCTTACTTACTTACTGCTTACTTCTTACTTACTATTTACTTCTTACTTACTCCTTACTTAGTTACTTCTTACTCACTACTTACTTCTTATTTACTACTACTTCTTCTTACTTACTACCTTACTACGTACTTCTTACTATTTACTACTTCTTACTTACTACTTACTTCTTTCTTACTTCTTACTTACTTACATACTTACTTGCTTATAAATAGCATGAAGAGAGACTTAATTCCTAATGAAATAATAGTTTATTAAGCATGATTCAGGTTTAGTAACTACTTAATACCCCAATCCCAACTCATAATCACTTAAATAGTTACTAAGCCTGAATCATTCTTGTTAAAGTATTTGTACATTGTTAAAGGTGTACTGTGTAACTTTTCCTGTGGAAGGTCCACCTCCTGCTTGTCTCCATAGATACGTTATTTCATTGTCTGGAATGTCCCAGTATGGCATTAAATATATCCACCTTGCATTTACTCAATAACATTGTTTTTATTGATCTAAACACATTGTTTTCCTTCTGTGAGTGGACTCGCCTCTCCACAGATCTGACATGTAACTTGGCCCTGGGATGTTACATGCTGTCGACGTAGAGATAAGTGTAATGCCATACTGCGGAGCATTCCAGGCAATAGAAGTAGTTGACGAACCCTCTACCAGACACCGTTGCACAATGCACTTTTAAGTTTTTCTTTGTGCTTTAATAAGGCTGAAAATAGTGTAGTTATTGTTTTAAGCAGAACCATAATTTTGACCTATTTTTTAAACACCCAAGGGCTAATAATATAAGGTGCAACAAAGGTTCACTTCTCCCATCCAACTGAGTTACAGCGGTGAACCATCTCAGCACTGCGGTTATCTGACAGGTCAAGGCTCACCTAAAGATCTACGCTCTGTCCCCGTCACATTAAGTCTGGAGTTAATTTGGAGACATGACTCAGACGTTTTTTTGTTATCTTCTCATTCACTCGCCTGCACACCAACACGCTAAACAAAGAGTAATTAATGCTGACGGTGATGACAGACGAGCAGAGCAGATGTTCATTTTTGTCCTCAATCTTTTGTTTACACCGCTCATTTCTTTTAAAGTACGAGAGCGTGACTTCAAACCACGCAAGAATCACAAGACCATTTAGTCCACAGATCTGTAAAACTGTTTGTGAAAATAATAATGAGCCACTGAAACCTTTGGGAGAGGTGCTGCTCTGGGACCGTGTAAGATTTGATAAAAGACGTGTTATATGACTGTGCTAATAAGTATCATGATGTTTTGTATGCTTTCTTCGCGTGTATTGTTTATTTCCGTGTGTTACAGTAAATGTGAGGTTGAGGTGTGCTTTATTGTGCCGCTGGGGAAACCTGTCAGACACAGTTATTTTACAAAGCATTTTAACTGATGGAAATCCAGAAGAAATTGTCCATGTGAAATTGGATGGCGGGACGAAGTAATTGATCAGTTTTGGATTTCATATTGCCATGTTAAACACCATACTCCCCATATTCTAGGATGGTATATATGTTGACAGGAAACACTGTTTTGATACTCTCTGTTGTAGAAATTGAGGACTGGCTGGCTTTTTCTTATTTACGAATGGGGCAAATCGTTCTCAAAATTTGTAAAACTATTTAAGATACTTGATTAGAAAGCAAGCAGCCTCGAAGTCCATTCTAATTCCTATAATGTCTAGTAATTATGTTTAAAAAGTCCTATATTACGCAACATGTTTTTATCCCTTTAGGCCATGTTATAATGTCACCTCATCAAAAACATACCTGGAGTTGTGTTTTGTTTCATTTTCACATGTTTGAGTAATCCTTTATTATTAGCTTGTCTACATCTCCAAAGCACAAAATGTTCTGTTCCACCTTGTTTTGGCAGTTTCCAAATTGGCAGTTTGCAAATTAACAGCTACCTTTTACCTTTTGTTTGGCAGAGATTGGAAATTCCAAGGCTGAAATCATCCAACTGATTCTAGTGAAGGTGTATAGAGTTTAAAAACACAGCGGGGCCCTTCCTGTGTCACAAGGTGGAGCAGAGTGTTTTCCCACTGATCCTAAATACGCAGGGTTTGTGTGAATGAAACAAAACACAACTCCAGGTATGTTTGAGATGAGGAAACAACATTATAACACAGATCAGAAAACTGCGTAATATAAATGTAATGACAGAAAAGCTCAAAATCCGGACTTACTTTCCAGCCAAGTGAAGGGGCGTTGCGCACGTCTCCATGTCGTCTCTCCTGACCAGCCTGCGGAGCCAGAGCAGCTCACAGTTACAGTGCAGTGGGTTCCCGCCAAAATTCAAGCTGATGACGGCGTTGTAGGGGGTGGGGCTTATTGCTCCTGTTTGGGACCTGGAAATGTCAACACACCAAGACAGACGAATTATTAAGAGGAAGTTAATAGAGATGTCACAATAACCCAAATATCGTGATAGCGTATCGTCAAAAGTCTCTCAATAATATCATGGACTGTCACAGTATATCAAATCACAAGTTCCTTTGCTTAAATACATGGTTTTACAGTAGCAACAGCTTATAAACATTGGTAAATACATGTCCCATAATTCATTTCAGTGCAGACAACTTGAAGAAATATGTTTTTGACTTGAATTATTTCGATTATGACAGTAATAATTCACATCAAAATCTTGTCAAGTTATTTTAAAAGCAAATAAGTCCACCCAAAATATCGCCAAAATATCATGAAATTTGGATATCGTTACATCCCTAGAAGTTATGCTTAGTTACTGTTGCTATGCACTCCACTAAGAAATACATAAGGGATGGAAATGAGAAAAGCAACAAAACTATTTAGATTTGGCTAATTGATGTGCTAACTTGCCTTTTTTTTTTTTGCTGTATCAATCATTTTTTATAGTATAATTTATTAAAAGTGCACTGTGTAACTTTTTTCTGTTGGAGGGTCTTTCTAGCGCTCTTATTGCTTTGCTTGAGATGTTCCACAGTTTGGCATTAAACAAATATATCTCTTATTTATTCAATTACAACTACGGTAAAATCATGCATTATTTCTGTCAGCAGGTCCACTTCTCCACAGATCCGACCTGTGACTTGGCCCTAGTTATGTGGCCTGCTTGCATGGAGATAGTTAAAATAAAAGCCATACTGTAGAACATATCAGGAAAAACATGGAGTCAAGCAGGTGGTGAAACCTATCAGAAAAGTTAAGCTGTGTGCCTTTTAGAATACTTATGGAATTTTTTAAAAAGTTTTTTTTGCTATTTTTTTACAGTTTTGTCAATGGAAAGGCAGCAAGAAATGACATAACTAAAACTACACAATCCAGTCAATGTTATAACTGATTAATTTGTTTTGATACTGGCATAATCAGTTGCGCAATGTTCACTTTTTGTATGGCAGAAAGACACTGGGTACAGGTGTTTTTGCTTTGAAAACAGTAGGTAATGAAAGAGTTGATCTGAAAAAGAAAGAGGGCAGGAAAAAAACCCATTGCGCCACATGCAGAGATAAAAGCACCTAGATACATACAACCAGCCGCGATTTAGTGGCACTCAATCAACCAGTCAATCATAGAATTACATGGGAAGGCAATGCTCTTTTGAATCTGGGACTAAGATGTGCCAATAGAAATGACTAAAAATGACATAATTGCTTTGGAGACTTGGTTCATAATGAAAAGCGCGGTTTATTAAAGGTGCAGTGTAACTTCACCTACTCCATGGAGATGTTATTGCTTTACCTGGAATGTGCCGTGGTATGACATTAAAGATGCATTGTGTAATTTTTTCTGGTGTCTTCCCACATATCTGACTTGTAACTTGGCCACGAATATAGAAAGATTTAATGCCATACTGTGAAACATTCCAGACAAAGCAAAAACATCTCCATGGAGAAAAGTTGCGCAATGCTCTTTTGAATCCAAACACAACTAGGACACATGCCAATACTCAGTGATGGAAACAATACTTTGAAAATATATTTAGTGACCTACTTTAAAATGTATTTTGTAACGCACTCTGATACATGGGCCAATCACAGTACTGTATTCTGAATATTTAGAATATTTGGAATACTTTTACATCAAGTTGTATCATGTGATAATGTAAAAAACATGAGCTATAATTACAAACAACGTAATTTATGTCCAATTAGAAACAGAAAAATGACACATGTACGCAAAGCAAAATCTGTGTTTTCTTTTTTCTCACGAATACTGTGCAGTTCAAAGCCAAAAGGACATGATGAAGTACCACCATGTATTCTTTTAACTGTATACTGGAATACAGACACTCAGAATTCGTACTCAGAATCTGCATTTTCGGTTCATGTATTCAGTTACTTCACAAAACCCATAATAAATGACTAAAAACGACATAATTGCCTCTGAGATTTGTACCCGTGACAGAAAGAGTGATTGAAAAACGTTGTTATCTCTCATTACAGGTTCGTGCGTAGCTTTATCTCTCTTCTCCAGTCTCTACTTTTTACCATTCAACACCTTCCCTGGTCAATTTGTCATTCGGGGTCTATAGGCCGCGAGCAGTGTGGCTGGAAATCTCACTTGTTCTGAACGTGAGTTCATTTATGCCGTGTCACAGCTGGACTCTGAGATATTTCTGTTACTCTGAGCGGGGTTGCCAGATAGTCACGTCTATACCCTCTTTGTAATTGGCATCTGTTTGGACAAGGCTGTGGGCAGGTAATGGCTGTTATGTAAGGGTTTGATGTTCTGAATGTGAAGCTTTCAAACACTACAGTTTATACACGAATCATATATGAAAAAGATAAGTTAGATTAAAGAAAGAGCGTTTTTTTTTTTAACATTTCTGAATCAAAAGAGATGAAACAAAACAGCAAATTGATGCCTGGATAGCTCACACATGCATAAGTAATAAGAGGCCTTCAGAGCAGCACGGGACTTACTGATTGATGAAATTAAATTATTCCATTTGAAATCTCTTAATTTGTACTACTACTATTTTTTTTTTTTTTTAAGTGGTGGTAAACTACATGATTTGGTTGTTTGTATTTTTATCTCACAGTTTGACATAGTTTACTTCAAACACAAATAACAATATGAAAGGTAGCAGGTATGTTGCCTTCATTGCTGATGCATGAAATTAAATAATTCCACTTGAAATCTATTTTAATTTTTACTGCTTAATCATGATTAAAGCTGGAGTACCAAACGTTTTTGAATAATGAGTATCCTTTTGTGTTTTCCCCCGAATTTCCCCTTATTTCTGTATTAAATGACATAGTATTAGTAGGAGTAGTAGTAGGAGTAGTAGCTGGAGTAGGAGTAGTAGCTGGAGTAGGAGTAAGTAGGAGGAGTAGTAGTAGTAGTAGTAGTAGTAGTAGCTGGAGGAGTAGTAGTAGTAGTAGCTAGTAGTAGTAGTAGTAGTAGTAGCTAGTAGTAGTAGTAGTAGTAGTAGTAGTAGCTGGAGGAGTAGTAGTAGTAGTAGTAGTAGCTGGAGTAGTAGTAGTAGTAGTAGTAGCTAGTAGTAGTAGTAGTAGTAGTAGTAGTAGTAGCTGGAGTAGTAGTAGTAGTAGTAGTAGTAGTAGTAGCTAGTAGTAGTAGTAGTAGTAGTAGTAGTAGTAGTAGTAGTAGTAGTAGCTGGAGGAGTAGTAGTAGCTAGTAGTAGTAGTAGTAGTAGTAGTAGTAGTAGTAGTAGCTAGGAGTAGTAGTAGTAGTAGCTGGAGTAGTAGTAGTAGTAGTAGTAGTAGTAGTAGCTAGTAGTAGTAGTAGTAGTAGTAGTAGCTGGAGGTAGTAGTAGTAGTAGTAGTAGCTGTAGTAGTAGTAGTAGTAGTAGCTAGTAGTAGTAGTAGTAGTAGTAGTAGCTGGAGTAGTAGTAGTAGTAGTAGTAGTAGTAGTAGTAGTAGTAGTAGTAGTAGTAGTAGTAGTAGTAGTAGTAGTAGTAGTAGTAGTAGTAGTAGTAGCTAGTAGTAGTAGTAAGTAGTAGTAGTGGTAGTAGTAGCAGTAGTAGTAGTAGTAGTAGTAGTAGTAGTAGCTGGAGTAGTAGCAGTAGTAGTAGTAGCGGGCATGTCCTTTTTTGTTTTCTGTAAATAGTTAAACTCCATGATTTTTTCTTTGAATTGCTGTCTCACAGTTTGTCAGTGTATATAGTTCCTACACAAATAGTAATATATAAAAGGTGGCAGGTAAGATGAAAGATTTCAGAGTGAAAAACCCCTGCAGATGAGACAAAAGCAGCAGACAGTGGGCTAAGTCTCTGTGTTGCACATTTCCATAAATAATGAAATGCCTTCACAGCAGTACAGTACTTGTTACGGTGCCAGCGGCTCTTCCCTGACTCTGCAGTCTACCTCAAAACCACACTATAAGCCACTTCTTAGAGGAACATTTGGAAGAAAGGCCAATCTTAAGCAGTACCTGGCAAAGAGGGGATCAGGCGGGAGGGTGCGCAGCCTGTTGGAGGTCATATCGAGTCTTGCTAGCTTATACAGCTCCCCGAAGACCCCCTCCGCGATGTGGTCGATCAGGTTATGGTCCAGGTTGAGCGTGTGCAGACTGGCCATGTTCTGAATGGACTCCCAGGGAACTCTGAAAGCAGGAGAGAAATTAGTCAGATATTTATTTCCACACATTGCTTTTCAGAATATTTTAAAGCTAAATCAGGACCAAGTGAGGACTAACACTGGCAAATGTTTTGAAAATCACATATTAAATGATCCTAAAACTAAATGCTCATTTGACCAAGTACTAAAAAAGCCACATTCACATGACACAAATTAATCTTTCCTGAATAGATTTAGAATGATCTTGAGCTGTATCAGAACAAGTATAAGAGCACAAAGATGATTTTACACCCATGGGCGACTGTGGGATTACACAAAGAAAATGACATTATGTTGTCTAAATAGTAGTTTTATTATAATTGTGGTATCAGAATCAGTATTGAGTATCGAGTCTATTCTTTGGTATCGAAATAGTTTGAATATTTAGAATTGTGACTAACACTAACGAGAATCAGCGAAGAGTTGGGATTCAATCAGATGCAACGTAACATTTAAATAGTGATTCTAACATGCAAGAACAATGCTTAGACAATCACAATGAGCACACACTGGTCAATTAACATCAGATAAATTGTTTTCCAAGCTTAGATGTGCACACATTTTCCAGAGAAAAACCTAAACGTGGATTAAATCTGTTGAAATAAAGACCTAAAGAACTCGAGTGTGAATGTGAACTCCAGTTTGTGGTCTGAACCAATATAGAGCCTCATATTAACCTCTACTGCTGGGTTTCACATATACAGAGGGGGCAGTTAAAATTGGTATTGTTAAAATGCAGGTTTGTGTTGTAATATGGTGAGTTCTACAGGTCTAGTTTAGTGATAAAAATGATCAGATTCAACATTTGCACATTTTATCTTTGTACCTTGGGAATATTTCTCTGGAGAATACAATGTAATCAGTTGTCTTTCAGAAACAGTGGAAGTCCATAATATCACAGCGAAGTGAGATGGGCCTCTCTGATGGCTATCCACGAGGACACGCTTGCCCTGTCACTTACTGTTAACATGTTTTCATTCATGCTTCTCTTCTCAAATTAGGACTAAGCAGAAACTAATAAGTTTTGACAGACAGCCACAACAGATGCTTATTTTCCCTCTCAATCCGCCTTTCCCATTCCATCTGCGAGCCGCTGCCGTTGTCATTTCGAACTCAATCTCAAAAGAAATTGAGTCATAAGCGAAAAAAGGTGTGAACGCTCAAATATAATAAACAGACATCGAATTGCGGAGTGACATTTTGAATACTGTCTTTGAAACGTAAAGTTGCGCTGTGGAACTTTTCTAGTGGAGACGCTGCCACTTGCTTGTCCTCATGGAGATGGTTTTGCTTTGTCAAATGTTCCAAAGTAGAGATTAAACAACATTACAGGTCAGATCTATCGACGCTATTCACAGAGAGAATTGTTGTATTTTTTGAAAACACCTGTAATGAATAAATGCTAGATAGATGTGTTTATTGTCACTGTGGAACATTCCAAAAGCAATGATATCGTCATGGAGACAAGCAGGTGATGGACCCCCCCCCCGCCAGAAAAGTTGCACAGTCCACCTACACCGCTGCATTAAGGCGGTGTAAAAGGTGAAGAAGTGCCATTGTTTTCTATTTTTTTTTGAGTTCAAAACATGTTAGCTTTTCGTGATCTGAATCACAACAATGAAAGGGAGAAGAGGAGAGCTGTGGGATATTAATAATGGCTACAGCAAACAAGCAGATGGCCGGTCTCTTTGTCTATAGCGTGTCTCCTGACAATGGACCAGTGAGGCGAAGCGATGCTGTAATGACTTCATTAAATGGTGCTTGTGGTTTAGATCAGACCCACACGGTAAAAGTATAAGTAGGCCTGTCAGGATAAATACTATCTTGACTACAATACATAAGAGATGGGATAATCATTTTTGGAGGTCAGTATTTACCGTGGGTACTTCTTCTTTGTACTAGTGGGAACATTTTGGTTATTTTATTTGTACTACAATAAGATTTGAGCCATAGAAGGTTGACTTATGAAATTCTGTAACTCATTTTAGACACAAACTATTTACTTAAAGATGCACTGTGTAACTACAAGTCAGATCTGTGGAGAGGCAACCCCGCTCGCAATCATAATACTTGTTTTTCTAAGTGTCGTGGAGCAATAAAACCACTTGCAATTTAATAAATGTAAGGTAAAGCTGTGAGAAGAAAATTCAGTTTGTCGACTGGACAAAAGTTAGTTTGGTTGAAGACGTTTTGTAGCTCATCCAAGCTGCTGCTTCAGTTCTGGTCAGACGCTGGTGGACACTTCCTTATATCTGCAGGAAGGAGCTAACTACCTAAAACTAACACACCTACTTGTTTACAGTTTCTGTTAGTTAGTTTGACCTATTGACCTGTACAGGGTGTGGGGTCTAATTAGCAGAACAATTCATGGCCATAATGGAGCTTCCACACCTCTGGACCCGACCTGGCTACACCTGTTGTTCTCTTGTTTGTTTTGAATTAGGTTTGAGGATGGAGTTGTAAATAGGAGATAGATGGTGTCTGAGTCTCCATTTCTGTTTAGAGAAGGATTCTCTTTATTAACAAAAATGGCTTCTTTCACTCCCCTGTGTGAAAAAATGCATAGCACACTCAGTTGGCCGATGTCCAGATACCTTTTTATCAACAAAATAAGGTTTCGGCAAAAAAAGCCTTCATCAGATATTTTTCTTGTCTTGGATCACAGCACACAAAATGGTTGCCAGCCCAGGTGACTATATACCCCTTCAATGAATGGGAGGTCCCAAAGTGAGGTCACCCAGTGAGTTCAGCCCTCTGAACTCACTCAGCTGTGGTCCAAGACAAGAAAAATATCTGATGAAGGCTTTTTTTGCCGAAACTTTATTTTGTTAATAAAAAGGTATTTGGACATCGGCCAACCGAGTGTGCTATGCATTTTTTCACCCTGGTCTGACTGCTCCTTGCATTTGCACCTCTTCAGGAATCTTGGTGTGCGTTTTCTGTTTCTTTTGATTCTTTCACTCCCCTCTCAAACCAATTTTTCTCTCTGGCTAAAATCTGTACCTCGCTGTCCTCAAATGAGTGGCCTGTGGCTTTTAAGTGGAGATGCACAGCAGACTGAGGTCCACTGCTGCTCTCTCGTCTGTGTTGGTACATCCTGTTGTGAAGTAGCTGTTTAGTTTCTCCAATGTAGCGTTCACTGCAGTCTTCACTACGCTGAATGGAGTAGACCACATTGCTTTGTTTGTGGTAAGGTAAAGCTGTTTAATGTCATATTGTGGAGCAATGACATAGGAACATAGTGCACCTTTAAGTGTTGCATTCATTTATTTATTGCGGCTCATATTTTTAACAATATTGTAAATTTAGAATACTTTTTTGCGGGTAATTCTGCTTTATGGTTTGGTTTCAATATTAGCATCTATATTTACTTAAAGGTGCATTTTTGTAACTTTTCTGGTGGATGGTAAGTCGCCTGCTTGTCTCCTTGGAGATGTTGCTGCTTTGTCTCCAAATGTTGTATGCCGTTAAACTATCTATCTTATATTTACTCAGTTACATGTGTGTTTATTTACTTGAAAATCATGCGTGGAGTGGGCTTGCCTCTCCACAGATCTGACCTGTAATCTGGCCGTTTGAGCTTACTTGAGATAAATGTAATGTCATGCTGTGGAACACTAAAAGTACCGCAATAACATGTCTACCGAAAAAAGCATCTGACTGACTCTCCACCAGTAAAGAATGCACATTTTTAAGCATTATATTTCTCTTTGAATTGTATGATCAAGATGGGCCTAAATCTGAAACAGGATTTTGTAAAAGAAGGACATCTTTTTAACACGCTGATAATCATTGTCCTTTGCCATGTGAGTGAATGGACTCAGTTTTAAAAAGCGCGAATGTGAAAGTAGTAGTTGGTGACCTTGGATTGTGGCTTTGACTAACAATGATAATGGAACAACTTTAGACCTGCCTATCTGCTGGAAAAACTCAGTGTGGAGCTGGACTTTTGTTGCCCATAATTGTTCGTCTACCCCTGGCAGCTGCTGACCTTCACCCTGCCCAAAACCGCACTACAAAATACAAGCGCATTATTTTTCCAGTCATTTGTAAAAGAGTCAATGAGGTCTTATTTTCAACCACAAAGCGTAAAGAAGTGCGAAGTGTGCGCTAACCCGTATCCATAAAGGGCAAGCTGCAGATGCTTATGTATGCATCATAAAAATCCCACTATTCTTTCCCTAGACGAAAAGGTGTTTGGACAGCTGCCCGAGTGCTTTTAAAGGTACACTATGTCATTTTTTGGTAGAGGTCCGTCACCTGCTTGTTTCTATGGATATGCCATTTCTTCTGCACTGATGCAAAACAGTGCGGTGCGGGAAACTAAATATGAGTGTCAAGTAAAATATACAAATGATTAATGTTTGCTTATCATACATCATTTGTGCTGTATAGTTTATTTGGCATTAATAAAAACATTTTAAGAAGCCTAAACTTGTGTATGTGGTCTAATCTTGCGCACATTTTAAACAATTCCTCTTCATGTTTGATAGAGCTTATGAAAGCGAACATGCTCAATTTGGGGGATTTGGCAGCGGAACATTACAGTTCTTTGTGGGCAGGAGTGGGACTGCACAATGTGTGTGCGGGCAGAAAATTCTGTCCCGTGCAGACCTCTATTTGATGGACCCTCCACCAGGAAAGTTATTTAATGTTCCTTTAAGGGAGACAAATGAAATGTTTTAATCACGGTGACAGGCTAAAGCGGCTCTCTGTGGACAAGCTCTGTAAAGGTGATTGGTGGTGAAAGGCTAATTAATATTATCATGTCTGTACTTATTATTTTGTCCGGTGACTCAGGCACTGCACGACATCTTAAATGGCTCCATTGTCCATTGCGATAGATATGAGAGGACCACAGTATACTGAGAGACCAAGAAAAAGGAGCACCTTACAAAGACCACGGGCCTGTCTTTCAACAACTGAAGTCAAAGAAAATTAGGACCTCATCAAAATGGATTCACTTTCAATTTTCAGAGCTTTTCATCCTCCTAGCCTCAGCAGTTTGATTTGCTGTGTTTGCTGACTCGTGCTCACACAAGGCCTTGCTGCTAAGAATTGTATTTTTGTTTTCCGTTTACCCTTAAGACCCAAGTTCTGCTACCTTTTAGGTTTTTTTTTTTTTTTATTATTAAACATGCATATGACAGGTTAGGATCATTTCACTAAAACATCAACATCATAATATTTCAGATTCAACAAAAAGTCTTGCCTAACTCACAGAAAGAATGGAATCCCTCCAGAAAAGTTACACAGTGCACCTTTAAACTGCAAAAAAAAATGCCTTACTTGTGTGTAAATTGGCTCTGGATTTTGGATGGAACTTTCAGTATTGATGACAAAAGGAGAGGTATTCCATTTTAGAACTTTTTGCACTTTTCTTCTCAGTGTTTCCCTACAAACAGCAATTGAACTGATGTAAAACTACAATATATACTGTATTTTAGTTACCTTTTCAAATTGTTGTAGGACATGTCGAGGTCTTCCAACGTAAGGAGAAAGTCATCGAACACTTGGGGTGACACTTTGACCAGCTGATTGTTGTTGACTATCAGATGTTGCAGATTGATCAAACCCGCTAAGTCCCTCGGCCCTAGCGTCGTCAAGCGGTTACCTGGACACAAAAATCAACACTGTTATTGGACTAGCATTGATTCCCAAAGGTCACTATGCTACGCTTTCACTTTACCATCCAGATGTAATGAGCGGAGACTCTCGAGATCCGCAAAGGCCATTGGTCGTATATGATGGATGGTATTCCTGGACAAAGTCAGGTCAACCAACCCGGTCATGTTGGCGAAATCGCTACCCCCGACTTCTGTAATGAAGTTATCAGCCAGTCTTAGCTCCACTGTCCTCCTGTCAACATTGGGGGGGACGAATAGTAATCCTTTGTCCGCACACAGAGTACTTAAAGACTCCGATAAGTTTCGACATACGCAATGGAACGGGCAAGTGGAGACCATGCCCCAAGTCTCGCCCGCTCCAATCAGGGATGGCAGTAGGCAGCATGTGACCAGCGTGAGCCAATGGAACGCCGGGAATGTGGCCAAGTCGGGAAGTGTCCGCCGTGTAGTCCGTGGGCAGGCACAGTGCAGGAGGTGAGAAGAAGGGGAGATGAGCAGAGTCGGATGGAGGGATAGCTGGAGGATGCGCGGCGAGGTTGGATCGCCTTCTGGGCTTCTTCCCCGATGGAGGTGTGTGTGGGGCCGGTGTGTATGTCTGCGGGGGGTGGGGGGTGGGGGCACAGGCATGGTAGAGCGCCTGGCAGTCCACAGACCTAGAGAATAGAGAAGAAGAAAACCACAGTCAAGACATTTTATTTGATGGTAATAACTACACGTTTAATAGGTTTAAAGGTCATGAGCTTTTAGCCACTGTCACGTCATCAAAAACAAACCTGGATTTGTGTTTTGTTGCATTCACACATGTCTGAGTAACCCTTTATTATCGGTCTGTACTGTACTGAGGTATTTTTGAAGTTAACGTCTACATTTTACCTTTAGATCAGTAGAGATTCCAGGGCTGAAATCCCCCGAAATGATTATAAAGGTGTATGAAGTTTAAAAACACAGTGCAGCACTTCCTGTATTACCATGACATGATATCACAAGGTGGAACAGAGTGTTTACCATCTGAGAGAACTCAAACTAAACTTGTAGGATGTGTGTGTTAAACTTGTTTGAATGAAACAAAACACAACTCCGGGTATATTGGAGGAAATCTTATAACAAATCGTAATATAGGCCCTGTAAGCATTACCAAAGACATTCATATTGACTTAATTCATAATGAACCCATGACTCAGGCTTAGTAAGCAGTTAATACCCTAACTCATGACTATAATCTTTTAAAATGTCTGTGTAATCCCTCAGTCGTCCAGGTAGGATCCACGGCAAAAGAAAAATGGACAAAATCAATTGGACAAATCTTTTTTTGACCAGAACTGAAGAAGCTGCTTGGATAAACTGCGAAAGCGTCTTCACTCAAAAAAACTTTTGTCCAGTTGACAGAATAGAATTTTTCTTTTGCATCATCTACTAAAGTACTAAACCTGAATCATTCTTGGTAAACCATACGTCTGTTGTGAATAAAGTCTTTCTTTGTGCTTTGTATTTTATGGTACTGATGGAAGTTGGAAATTGAGGACACCATAATCGGACAATTCAGTAATGTCTGTCTGTATGTTTTTCGTCGACATTTTCCAGAATCAAGGCGTTGCTTTTTAAAAATCTCACTATATTACTAGTCACATTGTAGGAAATCTTTGAAGACTTTGGATAGAAACACTGGATTAATTTGGTATGTATGCTGAAAACTAATAAGCATCCACAGTCCCTAGGCAGGTAATAACACAAGTGCAATATAAAATCTTAACACATCATCACTTTTTTTAATTGATTTTAACATTATACAATGGCAACAATTTAAACAAACCAAAAATAAAACAGTCCCACATCCCACACATCATGCCAAGTTTTTTTGAAGAATAAAATGCACTGCAGACTTGCCATGTCAACTCCTTTCTGAGCTTTTAGAACCAGTTTTGTAAGAGTTGTCTGAAGTGTGATTTTGGTATTTTTGCCGCACAGCCTTCCACCTACTGAGACTAGACTTAGCCTGAACAAATGGCCATCCTCCACACCAGCGTGGGCTAAGGCCTCCTCAGATAAGCACCTCACCATTGTTGCGTCCACTTCACTAAAAAAGTAGCTTGCATACTATTGTGATTCTTTCCTACAGACTCTCACGGCCCCCTTCACCGGTACTGCTCGCCGCCAGCATCAACATCCCAAAAGACAGCCGGTCCCCATGGTAACTGTTACCTAGAAACCCCTGAGCGCGGATTAGGCAGGTGTTATATCATACACAGCTTTCTTAAGACTCTGGGTCAGGCAAAACAAAGTGGGTCAGGATCCTATAGTCATTTCTCCAAAGCTAAAATCACCACTCAATTATGCATGATAAAGATTTAACAATTATAAATGAGAGATCTATGGAAAATCTGATATCGCTGTGGTAGATTTGGAGAAAGTTAGAATATCGAGTGTATTCCCTATAATAAAAACTATTATAAAACTATCAAAAAAATGAGAACATCCTGAAAAAGTTCTATATTTTTTGTCATTCATTTCAGAAAGTCTAACAGAGACTCGTGACACATAGAGTGAAGCTTTCAAACTTTTATTTCTTGACATTTTTTATGGCTTACAGATAACGAAAACCCAAAATTCAGTGTCTCAGAAAAATAGAATTGGTCTAATATCAGTATATTTTGGCATAATCTAAAAAAAATATGTAAATCTTTCTGTGTACTGTATGCAGACGCAACTATTGGGACATGCCCTACTTGTTGTTTTTCCTCTTGTTGACATTGCAAGCTCGATGATTCAATTCAGGTCTATCCTAATTTCCAACCCCTTTCCTCCTTCCTCCGTGACCGAAATATTCTACAGTTACACATGCAGGAAGTCTTACCCCAAGCCCCGCCCTATAAAAACATGTATAGGTGTCAGGATGACTCACGGGCCTGCTGATTGGCATTCATAATAGTCGTCATAGCAACTGTACCCTCGGCGGAGTGACAGCGCGTGTGTTGGAAACAGTCGGAGGCGAGCGGGGAGCGCAGACAGGGAACTAGACAGTGACTCACGCACTGATATAGCTGGAAGATGACTGTATTTATATGTTAAGAATTTCGGAAACTCACAACGCCATAAGCTCTGTGATTATTCTCTCATAATTTATGCAATGAAAAGCAATACTTTGACAGATACACGTACGCAGACATCTCCATACATCACGCTGAATTGAAGGGAGATGCACATTGCCAGGCTCGATATTTTCCATTAGTAACTCAAATAGCTGAAGCAAGATAGGCCTCAGACATCGAAGCAGCAGTAATAAAAATGTATTCTGGTGTATTCGCTCCACACTTAACTCTGATGTGCTTCCAGTAGCAGTTTTGTTTAGTACACGAGCACCTAGCCTGTCCTGAATCTGATCCTGGTTCGGCCTGAAAACATCAAGAAACATACAGTACTGCGAGTGTTTTTGCAAAGTGTGAAAAAAGCTGTTACAGAAGAGTGCTTTGATATATGCAAATGTGAGCAATTTTGGGTTGGATCCAGATCAGTGTTAGATCTAAGGTACAAAAAACATCTCTGACTGGAAAATAGTGCAAGAAAAATAGCTCTGAATTAGAAGAGGTTACTTTTTCTGGTTTGGGCTCCAAGATTTTATCATTGCAAGTTGGAACTAGCTCCTTGGTAAAAACCTTTGATACATTCTTTAACATATATACAGTAATTAATTGTTTAGTAAATGCTAACAAAGTTTTTATTCACAGATTGTTTTGAGTGACATGCAGTCTAAAAATACCCATAGCGCTTTATTTATTTATCACTTTAGTGCGAACATATAACTGCTGAAGTCATCACTACACAGATCTTAGGTTTGTGTTGAAAAGAAGGACTGTGGGTGATATTGTAGTAAATTTAAATTACATATTTTGGGGGAAATTATCAGAATCACTCCTAAATATCAGCCTAACAATACCAGCGCAGCTTATCTTCCATTGGTTGCTTTGGATTCTCAACAATCTGTATCACAATGGCATTGAAAAAACATATCGGTCGATCTTTAACATTTACCATCCTTTCACAAATCTAGCAGCTGCAGAAAATATTCTAATAAAACATCAGTCTGTCTTTTAGGTGCATTGTTAACTTTTCTGGTGGAGGGTCTGTCACTAGCTGGTTTCTCTGGAGATATGGAGTCATTGCTTTGCCCTGAATGTCCCACAATATGACATTAAACTAGCCTGATTAATCAGACGCTTTCACTGTTGTAGGAACCGTCTGACCTCGCAGCATTAGAATTTTTTCGCTCGATGGTAGGTGGCTACTTTTTTTTAATTTAAGCAATCACTGCTCTTTGGTCGTGACGTATGTAATGCGCCACTAACAAGCCTAACTGATATATTTGGCTTTTCCCAAATCCTATAGGAAGAAGGACAATAACGTCTTTCCCCCTGATAAAATTCAACAAACATTCTCTTTGTTCCGACTTTAAATCCTCGATCTCAAGATGTCAGAATGTATGGCTCTTCGCTGATTGGCTGGTGCCCGAACTCGCACTCCCAGGGCTTTTGCAAACCATCTAGTGTATTTTGATTACTGACCTAGTCGCTGGAGAGAAATGAAATTGAATGGAGGCACTAGGTGGCACCAGCCTGGCTAACATTAAACATCTCTACCTTACATTTATTCAACTACAGATGGTTTTACAGCTCAAAATGACCTACAAAAACAGGCATTCGTACTGTGAGCAGGGGTGCCTCTCCACAGATCTGACCTGTAACTTGGTCTGGTTTGGTCCCCTTGATGGTTTAATACCATAGTGCAAAACATTTCCATAGAGAAAAGCATTTGAGTGACCCAGCACCAGAAAAGTTACACCTTTAAGTTAGGCCAAGTTGGTGGTCTTTTGTCTTTTAACTGTACATGTGTGACTAGAAACATAATAATAATAAATTAAATGCTTTTGTCAATTATAGTGTAGTACCAAGCGGGCCACTCCAGTTTCCTGCCGTAGTGTGCTAATGCTCCCACAGTGCTTTGCTTTTCCGGACCAAAGTCAATATGCTCAAACACGCCACACTCCTTCATATGACCTTTATCTGCTTTTGCCTCGCCTCATATTCTCACTCGAGTAATAACCCACCAGCTCCGCAGCCATTTTCACTTTATAATTTTCACACTTTCAGTTTTCCAGGCATGTCTGAGCCCCCATCTTATTCACCCTTGACTAGTCCTCTATTCTTGGGTGAGGTTGATTTCAAAAAACAAAAGCGAAACTATTCACTCCAATTGGGATATGTTTGGTAGTTGTCGACAGCTACGTAATTTTGAGCAATAATTTTGTTATTTCTCCCACCATTTCAAAGACATGCTCGTGAATGTGTGACTCTAAATGAGCTATTATGATAATGGTTTTTGGGTGCAATCCAAATTTTGCAACCTTATTGAGAGTAAGATAATGAATTAAATTAAGCTATTAAATGTTACAACAAGCAATTTTATTTCACACTAAATTTTAATCTTGGCCCATTTTCGTGATTTCCTGGTTTAGCTGTGATTAGGCAATTAGCTCACTGTAATGTTCTTGCATAGGCCAATAGTCTATGAAATATTAGGTATCTATGAGGTATTAAAGAGCACTATGTAACTTTTCTGGTAGTGGATACGGCACT